AAACAAAAATTATCAGCCCTGAGTAAAGCAGAAAATATTTGCACCGAGGGGTCCCATAAAACTGGGACACGGCTACATCAGGGTGTCTTCCTGGAGATCAAACAGAGCCGGCTGTGGGTTAGGGCCGGAGACAGGGTTTCTCCAAGCAGGAGGAGGGTCTCCAGGGCTGACAGCTCCGGGGGCCGCTGCTTCCTGCAGCTCATGGTCGATTTATGAAGACAAGAACCGGGGATGCGTCGGGGCCACAGGACAGCCAGGGCAGAGGGGGCCCACGGCTGCGGCGGGTGGGAGCGCCAGGGACACGCGGCCGAGGTCTGCAGAAACTCAGCCCCGCTGTGCTGCAAACAAACGCTCGCTCTTGGAAGAGCCGCAGAGGGAGAGAGAAGCCAGACTCTCCAGTTGACTATAAAACACGGACAGGCGGCCAGTCCCTGGGTCTGTGCCCGAGAACCCGTGTGCGGACTGGCCACGTGAGGGGCCCCGAGGCACGGCCCGACAAGGGGCCGTGGGCCAGCTCGGTGAGGGGCTTTCAGGTCCCCACGAAGAGACCAGCTTGGTGGGGGAAACCTCAGTCCCCATTTGGGAGCTGGGGATGGCGTGCCCTCACTTTGCCCACAGGGCCTGCGTGGGGAGGAAAGAAAGGCAGCGCCGGGCCAGGCGGATGGTTCCAGACCGCGGGGCCCAGGGAAATGACAGCCCAGGCCCGTCAGACAGCAGCCCTGCCTCCACGTCAGATGCTGTGGCCCGGCCCCTTTCTGCTGCCCACAGGCCCCTCTGCAATAGTGACCCATGCTCCCTCCAGGGTCTGCAGGACCAAGGACAGCAGCAGATAGCACCAGGCCCACCACAGGGCACCTGCCGGGTCCACTCTGTACGGACGGGCCTACCCTAGAGGCCACTTCCTCGCATCACGAGGACCATCACACTCCAGCACTTCGGCCTTCAGACGTGGACTTCCCACTCCTGGAGAGACCACGAAGGCCTGTGAACGGCCTCTGTCTCCAATGAGCCATGGGCACCCTCACCGCGAAGCCTGCCCCAGGCCACCAGGTGAGGTGGCCACTCACTGCTCCACAGGGCCTGGTGTGACAGCAGCGGGCAGTGAGCTTTACCGAGTGAATTCAGCCTGCAGGAGTGGGACATAGGCCCCTCACTGCCTCTGGGGTAAGACCTCTTAAAATCTGGCCTCGGACACTGCAGGTGTATCCCACACCACTGGACAGGAGAGTGCTGGAATAGGGTGACCGCAGAGGGACAGTGGGATTTCGAGAGGCAGGTGAGGAGCGCGGCCGCCCTGCACAGGGCGTGTGCAGCTGAGAGGGCCTGGCTGCCTGGGACTCCGGAGGGGAGAACTGCTGACCGCCCCAACTGGGGTCAGACATTGGGAGGGCCATCTGGGTGCAGCCCGTGTCCTTCCGATGGCTGTGGGGCCGGGAGCCCTGAGTGCAGGGTGGACACGGGGTGGTGGGCGTCTCCCTGGGGCAGGGCAGGGCGGCTCTGCTCTCCTCTTCCCCGACGGGAAGCAGCCATGGAGCCCTTGGTCTCTTGTCCTGCTGGCAGCGACCCCCTGGCCCGAGGAGGCTGGACAGGGGAGGGGTTACCGAGAGGGAAGGGCAGGAGGCTGGGGCATCCCGGGGAAGGAGGCCGCTGCCTTCCTGCAAGTGCCACTCTGCGATGGCCTTTCTGCCCCGTCCAGGGCACGGTCACTGCTTTGGGTTGTCACTAGTATCACAGCAGAGGTCCTTTCAAGATCGCCCGAGATTATGCTGGCCCAGGGCACGTGCTCCCCGCTGCCAAGAGGCCCCCGGTAGCAGACACTCCCAGGCATGGAGGAGAAGCAGGACCTCTTCCAGGGCTACTGGAGTCCCACAAAGAACACACTTTAGTAGGAAGCAGACGCTGACTCCCCAGCATGTCTGGGACCGTCCAGCCTGGCTGCTGGTGGATGGGGCGTCTCTGTCTGGCACTTCATTCTGCAAAAGTTTCCTGCAACATGCTGTCCCCAGGGTGCCCGAGGCACGGTGAGCCTAGGCCAGGCCCCAGCCCTTCCGTAGGGCAAGCGCCTGGGCCATAGCGCTCTGGGTTTCCTGCGCCTCGTTTGCTGACAGCTCTGTAGTCCACGAGCCACTGCACACTTCGCAGCTCCGCGGCGCTGGCTACAGGACGGGCCCACCCAGGGGCCCCAAACTCACGGATGGACCCTAGCCCAAAGCTCTGGCGTGAAGTTAAGAATTCCGCATACTTCGAGCAAGATCGTTCGGTGGTGGTGATTAGGTAACTCTTAGGACCACTCGTCACTCTATTGTTAAAAGCTGATGAAGTAAATACGATGTTTAAAGTCTCAAAATGTCAACTGGGTCATTCCTCAGACTCTCAGAAAGAGCAAGCCCATGGAAACCGGCACGAGACGCACGCCCAGCCGTCACATGGCCACGCTGACATGCTCGCTGTCATCTCGTGTCCCAGCACGGGGCTGGCGGGGTCAAACTGCAGAGCGGGGCCTTACATAAACTGGGGTCCCCTGAACCATCGTCACTGCAGGCCCCCTGGAGCCAAAAGCCTGCACAGTTTTCTGGCCAATGCCACTGGCTGGCCACGCAATGCTCGGAAGCCGTGGAGTGCGCAGGGACCAACGAGTGCGCTCGTCCCGGGAGCTCGCAGGGACACTCGCCAAGCCTGCAGGCCTCCCGATGCCAGCTTTCCCTTCTGAAATACGCCCACTTCAAGTGTCCCTCAAGCTCAGGTTAAGGGCCGTCGCTGCTTCTCCCTCAGGAAGCTCCCAGAGCGGGAGAAAGCCCCTCGGAGGCTGGCATCGCCTTTCACTGTCACCCAACACGGCTGTGAATCGCTCGGTGCTGGGCGAGATCAGACATCTTTAGGAGAGGGAGCCACGGGCTAAAGATGCCTGTTATCCTTTCCCTCCGTTTCTCCTCTCCATAAAGATTTTGGACTCACAGACACGCACCTGGCATGGTTTTATCCCAGCCAAGGTGGCCAGGATTCGAACCACGGTTGGTCTTGTGGGATTCAGCTCCCATAACCACCGGGTCATGGGAATAGCCCATAACAAGCATTGCTAAGAAAAGAAATGATTCCAGGATCCAGTAGGTTATATGGTGGTTAAGGTGCTGCACTCCCAGATGCCTGACCGTGGCTCAAGTCCTGGACCTGGTGGCTTGAAAATCACACCAGGCACAAGTGCATGCGTGCCCAAAATCTCAGGAGGAGAAGGGATGCGGTGTGGCCATCTCCCTGGAGGGTGGCTTCTCACTCTCCCTCTCTGTGTCATGTTCCGTCTCTCCCCAGTGAGCACACGCATTCTACGGCACAAATCTTAAACAGAATTATTCCATAGACATGCTTGGAATCTTCCTGCTCTGTACACATGTCTGACGGTCCAGCTTTGACCTTTTCTCATCTCCACGGGCATGGACGAAGAGAGGGGCTCTCAGCAGTCACGGGAGGGTGAGAGGCTGCAGGTGCCTGAGGAGCACCGTGGGAGAGGTCACGTGGGGGCCGATCGCCACGCTGCCTCCTGCGGTGTGCGCCTGCACACGTCCCCACCTCCCAGGCTGCCCTGGGCTTTCAGGGTAGCCAGCAAAACAGCACGGCTCAGGCCTTTCCCGCAGAGCCCATCTGAGGATGTGCACAGGTGGAGGACATGCCTCGCGGCCTGAACCGGGGATGCCCTGTGATGGTGCTATGTTTTGTGAGTGGACGTTGAAACGCGCCCTGAAGGAAAACACCCCACACAGATGACGAGACCTCTGTGAAGGTCTGCAATGTTGGCACTTGAGGCTGCGCATAGAAAATTCCAGTTTTGAGCCACCAGATGGCGTAGTGGTTAAGACATTGTACTCCCACCTAGCCAGCTGCGGTTTGAGTCCCAGACTCGGCAGCCAGAAACTCACACCAGGCATGTGTGTTTGCGTGCCCAAAATCCCAGGGAGAGGATGGAGGGGAAGAGTCTGTGGTGTGGTCATTCCCTCTAGGGGGTGATTTCTCACTTTCCTTCTCACTGTCTGTCTCTCTAGCTAACATCACACCCTACTACAGAAACAAAAAAAAAAAGGGGGGGGATAAACCAAAATCCCATTGCTCTTGACCCCAGGCTTCCGCAGCACCTACACTCAGACAGCTGCCTCCTTTCCCCAAGAAGCTCTGAAATCTCCAGTTGGAAGAGCAGAGCCAGCAGACAGGGAGCGGACTGGGAGTTTAAATGGAAGGGACAGAATCGTTATGAAATCAGACTAAGTCAGAAGCCCAAATAAGCAACCCCTTATTTGTTTAGAAAATTCAAAAACGCCTTTGAGATGGAACTGTTCTGGTAACACTGGTTCAGAGCAAAGCTACCCACAGGATCCAGGATCGGGAGGAGCTCGGGCCAGAGGACCAGACTGTCCTGCCATCCTGGAACTAGGCTCAAAGCAAACCCTTCTTAGGAGACGTTCCATTTATCCTACAACTGCAGCTCAAGTACAGAGTAATCTTCTGAATAAGTTAGAAAACTGAATAAAACACCGAAACCAGGGACCAGGAGTTAGTGTAATGGCTATGTCGCTGGACTCCCACGTAGTCAACTGCAGTTCGAGTCCCAGAGCCACTGGTTAAAACTCACACCAGGTGCATGTGCGTGCGTGCCCAAGATCCCAAAGGGAGAATGGAGGAGAAGGGATTGCAGCGTGGACATCCCCCCCGGGGAGGGGGGTGAGTTATCACTTTCTGTCTCTCTGTCTCTCTCTCTGTCTGTCTGGCGAGCGCACGTGTCCTATAGCAAAAACCTCTCCAAAGAAAAAGGAAAACAAACAAGCACCAAACCAGACATATATTTTGGCTGTCAAGCCATGAAAGTTATCTTTTCAACTCAGCGGCGAGGGAAAGAAGCCTGGTGCGCGTGCCCGAGGGCGGAGTGGTCGGGGAGGACGGGCCTGGGAAGCCCAGTGCGCGTGCCTGGGGGAGGAGCGGTCAGGGAGGACGGGCTGAGCGGGACGGCCGCCTACCTGAGCTCTTGCTGGTTCTATTCTGCCGGCTCTTCACCTGCTCGGTCCAGAGAGTGGGGTAGCGAGACGCGATATCTGGAGAGACAAACGGAGCAGGCGTGCCTTTAACCCGCCGGGGCAGCACAGACTTGTGGCTACAGCGGGCACGTAAGCGCGTGGCCGTCTTATCTGTGATTTATTATTATCAAATTGTGTGTACTCATCTTTAAGGAGAGGGGTGAAAGAATTGCCGGGAGGCGACACGCACTTCGGCAAGTCCTTTCTGGCACAGCGGCTTCCTCCGGGAAGGCGACGAGCCGCTGAGTGCGGAGGGCTCTCCTACAAAGGCGTCTGGAGTAGGCTGAGGACACAGCACCTCCGGGTGCAAGGCGGCCATTGCGCGACACGGGGCTTGGCCCAGCTCAGGGCTCAGCACGTGACAGGCAGACAATCGAGTTCCGCTCGCAGCTCCCGGACACGCCTTCTCAGTGACAGGTTGGGCTAGACCTGGGGGCCTGGGTCTTTGTGTGCGGTCCTAGTTTATGGGTGGGTCGTTACCATGAGCACACGCACCAAACCCGGCTGCTGTCTGCCACGCATGCTGTCGTGAGCAGAGCCTCAGTGTCCTTGGCTGGAGTGGCCCTGAGGGTGGAGAGCTGTGCACAGGCACGGTGGCCCTGCTTCTGGCCACGGCATTACACGTGGCCCCTGGTTGTGTACCCTGCACTCCTCCCCCAGGACCCGCAGTCCATGATGCGCTGATGGGCACCGCAGTCACAGAACTCGCCTGCCCCTGCCAGTCCCAGCGACGTGAGACAGGGATTGGAAAAAGGCCCGCATCATCGCAGCTCTTCTAAACGGACAGTTCATGCTCTGCAAATTGTGAAATTCCAACTCGGAAGTTTTCATTAGAAACCACGGCCCCCAGCGTGGGCCACGGGAAGCACCATGGTGGTGTTTAAAGACCCTTGATCTGAGAAGTATTTCAGGCTGAGTAAATTCTTCTTACAAGTGACATGATATAGCGTGATTGAATGTTTAAAAAAATAATGAGAGTAAAAATAAAACAATTGGGAAAAATAAGACCCTTGGTCCAAAGCCGTGGGGAGAAGTAGCAGACGCCGTGGCATGCGCGCCGTGAGCAGCCACACAGTCCTGCACCTGCTCCGTGCTCGAGTGCTCTGGTCCACACGACCAAGGGGCTTGCAGGGTCAGAGAAAACGCCTGCGGTGGGGCCACGCACGCTTCCCACGAACTTCCACACGTGCCCGCGCAGTGCAATGGTGCCTGCAGCCAGGAGAGTCCGTGGGGCCTGCAGGGAGCGGCCGGGTGCAGCGTGCTTGGCACTCAGGAGGAGTGGGGACCTCTCCTCGCCATCCTCGGCACGCTGCTTGCTAGACGGCTCATCGAGAGCGGCCTCTGAGCTCGGGGGCCTCTTTGAGCTGTCCCCTCCCAGCTCCCGCCCACCCTGGCAACCTCACTCCATCCTGGAGCAGAAGTTATGCTTCTGAAGGGGTTCCCCTCCATCCTGGGGGTCGCCCCAGCTCTGAAACACTGCCCTGGTCCCCGTGGGAGGTCTCCCGGGCTCACCTTCCTCGTCTCCTTGAGGCTGAGTTTCCAGCGCCGGGGCCGCGGCATCATCTGAATTCAGAATGGAAAAGATTTGCAAGGAGACTACAATTACAGAGTAAGTCAGTGAGTGTGCGAGGACTGCCGGCCGCACACCCGGCCCACGCCCGCCAGCCCGGGCCCACACCCACGGCGCACACGGGCCCACACTGAGCACACATGGGCCACGCTGAGCACACACGGGCCCACACTGAGCATACACTGCCCATGCTGAGCACACACGGGCCCACACTGAGCACACACGGGCCCACACTGAGCACACATGGGCCCACACCCACGGTGCACACGGGCCCACACTGAGCACACATGGGCCACACTGAGCACACACGGGCCAACACTGAGCATACACAGGCCCACGCTGACCACACACGGGCCCACACTGAGCACACATGAGCCCACACTGAGCATACACGGGCCCACACTGAGCACACAAGGGCCCACACTGAGCACACACGGCCCACGCTGAGCACACACGGGCCCACGCTGAGCACACATGGGTCAGCACTGAGCACACACGGGCCCAAACTGAGCACACACGGCCTATGCTGAGCACACACAGGCCCACACCACAGCACACATGGGCCCACGATGAGCACACACGGGCCCACACTGAGCACACACAGGCCCATGCTGAGCACACACGGGCCCACACCCACAGCACACGGGCCCACACTGAGCACACACGGGCCCACACTGAGCTCACACAGGCCCACACTGAGCACACACAGGCCTACACCCACAGCACACACGGGCCTACACCTAGCTCACACGGGCTCACACAGAGCACACATGGGCCCACACCCCACAGCACATGGGCCCGCACCCGCCAGCCTGGGCCCACCA